TGGAGCTGTTTCAGGTTCTGTGTCTCCTTCCCTCTTTGCCCCTCCCCTGCTCACATTCTGTCTCACTCTGTCTCTCAAAAATAAATAAATGTAAAAAGATAAAAAAAAATAAATGGGTAGAATTCATCTGTGAAATCATCTGGTTCTGGACTTTGGTTTCTGGGAATTTTTTTGATTACTGATTCAATTTAATTGCTGGTGATTGATCTGTTCAAATTTTCTTTTTTTAAAGTTAATTTTGTGTGTGTGGGAAAGTGTGTGAAGGTACAAGTCGGGGGAGGGACAGAGAGGGAGGCAGGAGAGAATCCCCCCAAGCAGTCTCCCGCTGTCAGTGAAAGCCCCATGTGGGGCTCATTCTCATAAACTGTGAGATCATGACCTGAGCTGAAATCAATAGTTAGTTGCTTAACTGAGCCACCCAGGTACCATGGTCGCTTTACATTTTCTATTTCTTGCTGCTTTACCTTCGGTAGGTTATATGTTTTAGGAATTTATGCATTTCTTCTAAGTTGTCAAATTTGTTGGCATGTAGGTTTTCATAATATTCTGTCATGATTGTATTTCTGTGGTGTTTGTTGTTCTTTCTCCTCTTCATTAATAATTCATTTATCAATTTGTTTATCTTTTCAGATGACCATCTCCTGGATTCATTGATCTTTTCTTTTTTTCAAGTTTCTGTATCATTTATTTCTAGTGTAATCTTTATTATTTCCTTCCTTTTGCATGATTGGGTTTTTTTCTTTTTTTCCTGGCTCCTTAGGTATAAGGATAGGTTGTTTATTTGAGACTCTTTTTGCTTCTTCAGGTATGCCAGTGTTAATATAAATTTGCTCCTTAGAACCACTTTTGTGTCATCCCAAAGACTTTAGGCCTTTGTATTTTCGTTTTCTTTAGTTTCCATGTATTTTTTGAATCTGGGTAGATCTGTTCATAGCATGTTATTTAACCACCATGTTTTTGTGCTCTTTCCAGATTTTTTCTTGTGACTAATTTCTAGTTTAATAGTGTGGTCAGAAAAGATGAGGCATGGTATGACTTTGATTTTGTTTGAATTTGTTGAGTTGTTTGTGGGCTAATATGTGATCTTTTCTTGAAAATGTTCCATGTGCACTTGAAAAGAATGTGTATTCTGCTGTTTTAGGATGGAATGTTCTGAGTATGTCTGTTAAATCCATTTAGTCCAGTGTGTCATTCAAAGCCACTATTTCCTTCTTGATTTTCTGTGTGGATGACCTGTCCATTGATGCAGGTGGGGTGCTGAGGTCCCCTACTATTACCATGTTGTATTGCTATTAAGTGTTTCCTCATGTTGATTGTTAATTGTTTTATCGGGTGCTTTCATGTTGGGTGTGTAAATATTTATCATTGTTATATTTTCTTGTTGGATTGTCTCTTTCATTATTACATAGTGTCCTTCTTTGTCTCTTGTTGCAGTCTTTGTTTTAAAGTCTCTTTTGGGGCGCCTGAGTGGCTCAGTTAAGTGTCCGACTTTGGCTTAGGTCTTGATCTTGTGGTTCGTGGGTTCGAGCCCCGCGTCGGGCTCTGTGCTGACAGCCAGCTTGGAGCATGGAACCTGTTTCAGATTCCGTGTCTCCCTCTCTCTCTGACCCTCCCCTGCTCACATTGTCTCTCTCTCTCTCTCAGAAATAAATAAAACATTAAAAAAAAAAAAGTCTCTTTTGTCTGATAGAAGTATTTCTACCCTGGCTTTCTTTTGGCCTCCATTTGCATAGTAAATATTTCTCTATTCCCTTTCTGCAGGTGTCTTTTGGTCTAAAATGATTCTCTTGTAGGCACCATATAGATGGATATTGTTTTTATATCCACTCTGTCACCCTGTTTATGGCTTTAGATTAGAGTATTTAGTCCATTTACATTCAAAGTAATTATTGGTAGGTCTTAATTGCCGTTTTAAAATTTGTTTTCTGGTTGTTCCTGTAGATTTTTGAAATTCTTGGTGTCTTTCATGGTTTGTTGCCTTTTTTTTAGTGATATGGTTGGATACCTTTCTCTTTATTCTTGAATGTTTATTACAGGATTGTGATTTGTCATTACCATCATGGTTGTATATAACATCTTCTGCATGTAGCAGTCTGTATTAAGTTGATCATTGTGTAAGTTTAAATCTATTCTTTATTCCTCTCCCTCCCACCTTTCAGGTATAATGTGTCATATTTTACATCGTTTTATTTTATGAATCTTTTGACTGATTTTTATAGAATTATTTATTTTTACAGCTTTTGTGCTTTTTACTTTTCATACTCTCATTTAGGGTCTTTCCTTTTCACTCCAAAAGTCCTCTTTAAAATTTCTTGTAGGTCTGGTTTAGTAGTCTTTTTGTCTGAGAAACTCTTTTCTTTTTAAGTAGGCTTCACACCCAACATGGAGCCTAATGCATGGCTTGAACTCATTACCCTGAGATCAAGACCTGAGCAGAGATCAGGAGTCCGATGCTTAACTGACTTCTCTACCAGGTACCCTTGTCAGACAAACTCTTTATATCTGTTTTGATTCTGAATGATAGCCTTTCTGGATAAAGTATTCTTGGCTGCACATTTTTTCCTTTCAGCACTTTGAATATATCAGGCAGCTTCCTTCTGGCCTGCAAAAATTGCTGCTGAAAAATTTCCTTAAAGCCTTATGGGCTTTCCCTGTACTATCTTTACTCTGGCTGCTTTAAAGTTTTTATCTTTATCCCTACTTTTTGCCATTTTAGTTATTATGTGTCTACATCTTTGGGTTGAAATTTTTTTTTATTGTGTCTCCTGGATTTGAACATGTTTACTTCCCCAGATTAGGAAGTTTTCAGTTCTTATTTCTTCAGATACATTTTCTGCCCTCTTATCTCTCTCTTCTTCTGAGATCCCTGTAATGTGGATGTTATTAGCCTTGATGGAGTTGCTGAGTTCCCTAATACTGTGCTCAGTTAACATAATTTTCTTTCCTCTCCTTTGCTCAGCTTGATTACTTTATATTACTCTATCTTCCAGGTCATTAATTAATTCATCTCATTCATCTGGCGTACTATTTATTCTATCAAGTATATTTTTAATTTCATTTATTGTATTCTTTAAAAAAATTTTGAAATGTTTGTTTATTTTTGAGAGAGAGCGACACAGAGCACAAGTGGGGGAAGGGCAGAGAGTGAGGGAAACACAGAATCCAAAGCAGTCTCCAGCCTTTGAGCTGTCAGCACAGAGCCTGACACAGGGCTCAAACCCATGGACCATGAGATCATGACCTGAGGTGAGACCAGTGCATAACTGACTGAGCCACTCAGGTGCCCCTCGTCATTTATTGTATTCTTGATCTCAGGTTCTTTTTCGTGTCTGCTTAAGGATCTCACTGATATCCTCCACTCTTTTCTCCAATCCAATGAGTATCTTTATGATCATTACTTTAAATTCTCTATCAGGCATATTACTTACATCCATTTTGCTTTGATCTCTTGCTGTGATTTGGTCCTGTTCTTTCATGTAGGAGATATTTCTCTGTCTTCTCATTTGTTTGACTTTCTGTGGCTGTTTCTGTGTGTTAGGGAAGTCAGCTACTTCTCTTGTTCTTAGTGATAACAGCCTTATGAAAAAAAGATCCTGTAGTGCCCTATAGTACAGTGTCCTCAGTTTCCTAGAGTCTGGTGCTTCATTCAGGGCATGTTTGCTCTGTGTGTTGTATGTGCTCTGCAGTTGAATTTTGGTCTCTTTTTCCTTCAGTCTACTTGTTTGCTGATGTTACCTTTACTTATTGTGTGTAGCAAGGTGTGCAGTGGTCTTCTTGTGAAATGATACTGCCTGCCGGAAAAGAGGTCCTGCAAAACAGGCAGGTTAGAAGATGTGGTATTAGCAGAGTTTGCACCATACCTCTGCAGCAGGGGCCTTGTAGCACCAGGACTCAGGAGCATGACTGGGAAGGGCTGATCTGCTGGAGCATGTGTGGCGGGGCTTGGTGTAACCAAGTTAAGTAGCATTAGTCTGCCCAGTGCTGGTTTCCACAGATGGCCATTGTTTATGCTGGGGGCAGGGGAGGAAAATGGCACCTGCCAGCTCCTTTGTTCCTGCACGGGTCTCCCCATGATCCATGTCTCTCGAAGCCACGCTCTGAGATGAGCAAATCATTTTCTCCCTTATCTGCCCCTGGGATTTTTCAAACTGCTGATTCTATAGCAGCATTTGTATGGGCTATTTTCGTGCTTTCTTAGGGTGGGGTCTCTGTTTCCTAATGCCTAGAGCTCAGCCTGCCGATTTTTAAAATTCTAGGGTTTAAATTCTGTTGGTTTTAAGAACTAATGAAATGTCAAAGGCAAGTATTATGAAGATTTGTCCTCCCTGTTGGCAGTCTTCCTAGTGTGAAAGTTAGTTTTCTGCTCTTTTCTGTGCCACCGGCTCCTTCTCCACTGTGGCTGGCTACCATCCCTTTTGCTCCCAGGCTGCAGATTCACCCTTTATACCTTCTTTGATGTGTGATCTCTTCCCTGCCTTTAGTTGTGGAGTTTGTTCTGCCAGTCCTCGGGTGGTTTCCTGAGTGATTTCCACTGATAGTGTGATGTGGTTGTATCTGTGGGAGGAGCCAAGCTTTGGGTCCTCTTACTCTGCGATCTTCCCAGCCAACCTTTCCTATTTACTTTTTAGGGCCCTGGTAAATAACTTTCTTTGGTGGAAAAAGTTAACAGTTAACCTTGGTGTAAATTCTTCTGTTTAGTCCTATCTGTATTTTACTAAAAAGAAATACTTAAACATTTTTTTGTTATGTGTTTTTATATGTGGTATCCTGGAAGGGAGAGTGTGGTTTAGCGGAAGAGGGTCGTAGTCAGATTGAAGAACTGAGGAATGAGTGAATTTGAGAAAATGGGGGATGGAGAGCTTAAGTAGTACTTTACCACACACTAGAGGAGGAAGTGAGGAGTTCTTGGCATTTTGATTTTTGTTGGTGTTATGCCTTTTGATAGACATTAAGGTTGTATCTCTGTCTTATATAATTTGTCCTTTTCTTAATGTTGCTAGCCTCCACCAGGCACTGTGAAAATGCCTAATGTACCTAGTACACAACCAGCAATAATGAAACCAACAGAGGAACATCCAGCCTATACACAGATTGCAAAGGTTAGTTCATGTTACAAGTGTAAGTTTGTATTGGAAATTACAGTATCAGTAACCTCTTCAGAGCAAAACAATTCTTTATATGTTGTCTTATTTAATTTTTAACTTTCTTTTCAATATGGGTGAGCTAGTAACATTTGCTTTATTCTGTTACTAGCAGTTATTGAATTCATAGATCTTCTCGATGTACAATTTGTTTAGAGAAGGTTTTACTGCCTTTGGTTTTACCCTTTAATGCATAATACTATTATAGTACCAATGATACTACAACTGGAAGTATGATGTTGGAAGAAAGTTACCAAGGCTAAGCAAAGAACAGTGATTAGAAGTAGCAGGTGGCAAAAATATGAGAATAAAGGAGATGAATAGGATACCTGTTTTTACATAAAAGCAGATGGAGTTACAAGCCAGAATTTCTCAATCATATCCTCCTTTCGCCTCACTGTCTTCTAAAATAGATGTTATATATATTCTTGCATTGGAAACCTTATGTACCATTTAAACCAATTCTTAAGAGGCAATTCAGTTGTCATTTTTCTGTTTTTTTTTTTTTCCAGTTGTTCCCTTTGCTCTTCATTCTCATTTAGGCACAGAGGTCACCTTAATTTTATTTTCCCAATTACTTAGGACTCTGACTAATCTTACTGAGAGAATTTTGTCCTGTTCTAATGTGTCCTACATTCTCACTGATGAGAAGACCCAAAATGAGCCAAATATCTTAATAATAGTTTCTGAAGCTATAACCTTGAGTGAATCACCATATTTTGGAAGAGGATTTGAATTAAGTTTCTGACGTTGTACAGTTGTACTCTTGATCTTGGGGTCATGATTTTAAGCCCAACGTTGGGTGTAGATATTACTAAAAAAAAAAAAAATGAACATAAAATTTTCTGAGTTGTAGAGGTAAAGACAGTAGGTAGCATAGCAATGTCATAATTCTGAAAACCTATTTATGCATTGATTTTTTTTATTATTACTATTTTTTTTTAAGGAACATGCCTTGGCCCAAGCTGAACTTCTTAAGCGCCAAGAAGAACTAGAAAGAAAAGCAGCAGAATTAGATCGTCGAGAACGAGAAATGCAAAATCTCAGTCAACATGGTAGTATCCAAAGAAGTTTGAAATAAAAATAACTTCAAATAATGCTTATGCTAGCTCTAAGTCCTTTGGTTTGTAGATAAGGCCATGCCCTATTTTCTTGTTCTAGCAAGATCACACAGCAGATTTCCAACTCATTACTTTGTAGCCCTCTGATACTGGCTGATTTACATAGTCTTTTGATTAAAACAGTTTTAGCCTTATCATACAGGAAGTGAATGTGAATATGATAATTTTGGTTGTTGGCCAGGAGCCAGATTCTGCACTTGGGCCCTCATTGAGTCTATTGAAGTTTTATGAGTACATGCAAGTGTGCCCTAAATTTGATTCTTAACTTTTTGTTTAGTCAGCCCAGTTTCAAATTATCTGCCCCAGTCCTAACAACTATAACATATCTGTCAAATTGTGTTTAAAAAACGTCTGCTGTGGGGCTCTGATGGTTAAATGTCCATCTTCGGCTCAAGTCATGATCTCATGGTTTGTGGGTTTGAGCCCTGCGTTGGGCTTTGTGCTGACAGCGCAGAGCCTGGAGGCTGATTTGAATTCTCTGTCTCCTTCTCTCTCTGCCCCTCCCTGCTCACGCTGTTTCTCAAAAATAAATAAATTAAAAAAAAAAAAAATTTCTGGCGTGACTCTGGAAAGCATTAGGGTTATCAGTGATGCCAAAGGAATGAGTGATGAATTGATCATTTGCTGTGAAATCTAGACTTTGACTATCAAAAGCCTTTTCAAGGGAGTATCTTAGAGAAAGATAGGAGCGTCTGGCTAAGACGGGTTGAAGAGCTAGACAAATCATTGGTTTTATGTCTAGGATAGTGATAGAATAACTGGGTTAGGTCAACAACAATATATATATATATATATATATATCATTAGGAAGAACGACTTCTTCCTTATCTTAGAATGTGTAACCCTAGGTCATATGGTATATGCTTTCACTCATATGTGGAATTTAAGAAGCAAAATCCATAATTATAAGGGAAAAAAAGAGAGGAAAACCAAGGAATAGACTAATTAGTGGAGAACAAACTGATGATTATCAGAGGGGAGGTAGATGAGGAGATGAGTTGGGTAAGTGATGGGGGATTAAGCAGTACACTTGTGATGAACACCAGGTGTTGTTTGGTAGTGTTAAACCACTTAATAGTACACCTGAAACTAATATTACACTTTATGTTAACTCAAAAATTTAAAAACCAAAACAAAATATAATGGTCTTTGAATATAAACAACAAAAATTTGTAAGCCTAGGACCTTGTGAGAACACATTCATCCCTGGCCATTTTGTTGATGGCAACATTAGAGACCATGTCTATAAAAGAAAAAACAAAAGATTTATTCGCAATCAGTGTATCTGAAATACCTGTAATAAAATATGTCCTTTGTCCTTAGTGTTGACTAATATAAGTTATTTCTATGAGAGCTATTTTAGGAAAGAGAGTAATAAAGAATGGGAAATTAAGAGTTAGACTTGACAGTATGTTACACATGTAAGTACTTATGTATTAGTTCATTTAATTATTAGTGTAATTCCCTGAAGGGTGGTATAGTTGTTATTCTATTTTTATTTCTATTCTTTAATTTATGAAGAAACTTAAGATTTTATAGGTGTAGAAAGTCTTTAGGATTTTCAGGTGCCTAAGGCCCCCTAGCCAGTAGCTTTTGGTTCCTAGTTCTTAAATTACTACTCTCTGCTGCTCTCAAATAGTATGAGACTTGTATGAGAAATGTATACGAAATTGGAAAAAAATTATGAGCATTGCAGACAAGTTGGGAAGAATGAGGCATAGGTCATTGTTTTTATCCACTGTAAAATTTTCTTAGTCTGTATAAAGTATATAAAATCGAATATTCAAAAACTATGGTATATAATATCTAAAATGAGAATTGGCCTTTAGGTGCTATTTTTTACCTTCTGTTTTTAATGTTTTGACTTCTTGCTTTAATTTTGTTTTTTTATTCCTCCCACCACTTCCTAAGCCCTATTTTCAGTTTCATTTCTTTATATAGACACATTTTCCCTCATAATAGCTTGAAAATTGTTTTTCCTCTAGGTTTTTGAAGGTGATATATAATTCCTGAGCTTCCTTTTCTTGACTCTTTCATGTTTTCTGCTAGTTTCATGGTTTTTGTACATGTATGTTTTGAATATTATTTTTTCAGACTTTGACATTTCCAGATTTGATTCTTTGGCAGTAATTCATCTTGTGTTTCTTCATGAAGTTATAGTAGAAACGTCAGATTCAGAAGTTGGTCTTCCTTCTCCACATGGGCTAGGAATTATATTCAAAGACTTAAGATCCTGAGAAGGAAATTGTAGATTTTTAAAAACTGCATGGCCTTCACATGAGAGCCAGACTCTTGGGATGCTGAAATAAGTCTCTTTTTAGGGTAGTGTCACAGTGTATGTCTTCGTGCTCTTTTTTTGTTTCTTGTGTCAAATGTACATAAATGGTTCTGGCTAAATGCTGTATGACACTGGGAAAAAGTTTTACCATCTAATGTTTTCTAAAGTGGTACTTTTTTTTTTTAAAGAAGATTTTATTTTTAAGTAATCTCTACACCTAATACTGGGCTTGAACCCACAACCCTAGATCAAGAGTCTCGTGCTCTACTGACTGAGCCAGCCTGGTGCTCTGGGAAAATTTTTAAAAATGGAAAGCTTGGCTTTCAAAGTTGTACAAACAGAGGAATGTAGAGATGTAGTATTAGACTTACAAAACATTTGTTAAAAGAACAGATAATGTTCTTTATTATGAAACTAAAATTAAGAGTCACACAAACTTGTCCTAATGTAAATTTTTATTTTTAATTTGCAGGCAGAAAAAATAATTGGCCACCTCTTCCTGGCAATTTTCCTGTGGGACCTTGTTTTTATCAGGATTTTTCTGTAGACATTCCTGTAGAATTCCAGAAGACAGTAAAGATTATGTACTACTTATGGATGTGTGAGTATAACATAATTATATACTTGTTCAACAGAGTTTATATTTTATTGTCACAAACCACCCTTTTTGGAATTCGTATATTAAGGATAGTATTATAAATAGGTCTTTTTGTATAGCTCTTAATTTTCAGAGTGGAACATCTTTAGGTACCTCAAAATTATACTTTATGTGACAATCTAAGCTAAAGAGAACTGGTATTCTTTTGAGGAAAGGATTTTCTGTCACATGTATAGTATTTTTGAGATAAAAGGAATAGGTGCAAAAATCTGTCTAGATAATAATTGTTTTAGAAAATTATGTATACTATTTTTATACAAACGAAGGCTATTTAAAAATTTCTTTTAAAGCATTAGGACTATTTTTAAAAAGGCTTTAAAATATTTTAATATTATAATTTTTCTTAGGGCTTTGAGCACAGTTTACATGTTATTTTCAAATGGTGATAAATACTATTATTGGAAGTACCTAGTTAATGTAGGATGTTTTACCGAATAGAACATTAGGACATACATTTTGGGCTGTGATGCTTGCATTATTTTGAGTATAACTACAACTTATGGAATACTAAAATAAAATGTCAAGCTGTTAACAATTTGTTCTGTGTACACAGAATTCCCACTTACTCCCTGTTTCCCTTTTATTTCAAACATTAGTTTAAGCCCCATTTAATGTTATTATGTTAATAGGACATGTATAGCTGTCATGAATTCTTACCTGCATAACTGTTGGGTTAATGGATAATTTGTAGTGTACATTCTTGATGGAAGAAATTTACGTGTTACTATATTATTATGCAGTCTTTTCTTCCTCCCCTAAATAAATGACACCATTTTCCTGCAAATCTTTAGGAGCATTCTTCACATAGGTGAAGTTGCTTTAGAATGTGAATAGCAGTTTCTTATGGGTGCTATATTCTTAACTCTGTTTCTCTTTGAGATTTTGTTGTTCTAGTATCTTTTGCTAAATCCCCAGTGTCTGCAGTACTATATACTTTTAATACTAAAGGTTTTGGTTTTATATGTATACATGTGAACAGATCATGGATTTTATTTAATATATAATATATACATATATTTAATAACTACTTTTTAGTGGCAGAAATTGGTTTGTCTTATTAATTGTCTTATGAGGTTTTTAGAAATAATACAGTATTTCTTAATCCTGTGAAGTTGACAGATCTCTTAACTATATTTAAAGAGGGCTCAATATCTGAAGAAGTATTACCTAGAATACTTAGTACCAGCTTAGTAATCTTTTTAAATTTCATAGAATGGAGACAGTTTTAATAAGCTGTTTTCAAGAATAGTCAACCTGTTAATGATTTCAGAATTGACTAGTGATTTCACACTGTAGTAATAATTATAATGAAAGAGAACATTTATTGAGGATTTATTTGTGCCAGGCACACTGCAAATCACTTTATGTACATGATGTTATTAACTCCTAACTATATACTATGAAGCAGATACTGTATTATCTAGTTTTATGGATAAGGAAACCAAAGCTTAGAGAATTTGAGTAACTTGTTCAGATTACACAGCAGTTAGGGTTGCAGTTGGATAGCTTGATTCTAGAGTCCAGAATCTAGAATTCAGCATTATGCCACCTACAAAGTACCAAAATGAAAGGAAATTTACATTTTAAACCCAAATAAGATGAAGATATACTTTCAAAGGTACCTTTCTTGAAACAATTTTACTATATAAAGGTATTGAAGCAATTAGAATGATCACATGAAATGAATCTTAACCTCTTTGAGTATATTCTTGGATTAAAAAAACAGAAAACAAGTTTTTTGTTTTTTTATTTTTTTAAATTTATTCATTTATTTTTGAGAGAGACAAACATGGTGTGAGTGGGGGAGGGCAGAGAGAGAGGGTGACAGAGAATCCTAAGTGGGTTCCATGCTTGTAAGCACAGAGCCTGATGTGGGGCTCGAACTCAGAAAAAACTAAGGGATCATGACCTGAGCCAAACCAAGAGTCAGATGCTTAACCAACTGAGCCACCCAGGTGCCCCATTAAGCCTCTTAAAATTCAGTTAGTGAAGATAATTATTCTGTTTAAAAGCTGTTTATGTTAGGTGCCTATGTTGTAATGCAGAACTTAACAAGAAGCTTATTGTTGGGGCACCTGGGTGGCTCAGTTGGTTGAGTGTCTAACTTCGGCTCAGGTCATGATCTCCTGATTCACAAGTTTGAGTCCTTTGTCTGTGCTGACAGTTTAGGGCCTGGAGCCTGCTTCATATTCTGGGTCTCCCTCTCTTTGCCCCTCCCTGTTCATGCTCTGTCTCTTTCTCTCAAAAATAAACAAACGTTAAAAAAAAAAGTATATTGTAGTGATAGTTGCAAATTTAGTCCACCAGTAACAGATTTGTGCTTTATCAAGCACATGGAAATTCTATACGAAGTAGGATCATTCAACTTGCAAATCATGTAAACAAAATGCCCTAAAAGTTTCTTGAAATGTTACATGTACCCCTGGACTCTACCAAGTAGATTGGAATAGGTTTGAAATTAGGAATATACAATCATATATTTCTCATTGCCTTGCCTTCCTTTATATCTTGATCACTGTATAAGTGGACTGATTGTTTAATAAATAGTGGTGGACATTTAACTTTACTTTGGGTTACAAATAAATGATTTATTTATCATGGTTTTTGGTTACTATGAAAATACTCAAAAAATTTTAATAGCTTGCATAAAATTAAATTAATATTTTATCTATATTTGGAAGACCTTGAACTTTAAGAGGAGATAAAACTTTAAAAATTATTTCTCTTAATATTGAAATTTAAATTACACTGTTGTGAATATTTAAAACTTCTTAGGCAATTCGATTCTATTTAATGTTAAAAATAATAATTTTCTGTTTCATGGTCTTTTAAAATCTGTTTTTAAACCATTGACAGAACAGCTTTTATTTTGAGCCAGAAGATCTTGAGTAAATTTATTAGCAAGCTAGCTTTCATGAGTTAGAAATCCTAATGGTAATAAAGTGATTTTGGAATAGTTTTCTCTGTATAATAGAATGGAGTGGAGGTTTTTTCTTTTTTTTTTGAGAGAGAGAGAATGTGAGTGAGGGAGGGACAGAAAGAGAGAGGGAGAGAGAGCATCCCAACTAGGCTTCACATTCCTTGCAGAACCCGATGTGGAGCTTGATCCCATGAACCATGAGATCATGACCTGAGCCAGAATCAACAGTTGAATGCTTAAATGACTGAGCCACCCAGGCATCCCTGGAATGGAGTTTTATTTATTTATTTAGTGTTTAAAAAACATTTTAAAACTTTTATTTAATGTTTATTTTTGAAATGTTTACTTATTTTTGAGAGAGAGAGACACACAGAGTGTGAGCAGGGGAGGGGTAGTGAGAGAGAGGGAGACACAGAATCTGAAGCAGGTTCCAGACTCTGAGCTGTCAGCACAGAGCCTGATGTGGGGCTTGAACCCATAGACTGTGAGATCATGACCTGAGCTGAAGTCGGATGCCCAACTGAGTCACCCAGGTGCCCCTAAAAAACATTTTTTAATGTTTCTTTTTGAGAGAGAGAGCCTGAGCAAGCAATGCACATGTGTGGGGGGGAGAGCCAGAGAGAAAGGAGGATAAGAGAACCTCAAGCAGACTCCGCACTGTTAGTGCAGAGCCCAAAGCAGGTTTGGATCTCTCGAACCCATGAGATCATGACCTGAGCAGAAATCAAGAGTTGGCCGCATACCCGACTAAGCCACCTAAGCGCCCCTGGAATGGAGTTTTACATGTGAGCGAGCTCCTATTTATCTACAGATGAAAAGTGGAAACATAGAGGTTGATTAGTTCAATACTGTATCTCTGTAACCCAAGTGTCTTTACTCTTCTACTGGCCTTCTTACTGTAGAGTTTATATATTTATCTACTTGTTAAAGCAAATTCAGAGGGATCCTAGAATGTGTGTTTAAAAAATTCTTTTTAAATGTTTTTTATTTATTTCTGAGAGAGAGAGAGACAGAGAGACACATTGTGAGCAGTGGAGGGTCAGAGAGAGAGGGAGACACAGAATCTGAAACAGGCTTCAGGCTCTGAGCTAGCTGTCAGCACAGAGCCCGACGCGGGGCTTGAACCCACGAACTGTGAGATCATGATCTAAGCCGAAGTCAGATGCTTAACTGACTGAGCCACTCAGGTGCCCCTAGAATGTGTGTTTTTATCTTGTTTTATTAATACAGGCTTTAAAAAAAGGTTTAAAAGATTTTAAAGTTTTTATTGTAAGTTGAGATTTTTGTATTTAGATTTACTAGATCATTTATTTTGTAAATTTTTAAAACTTTTTAACTTACTTTTGAGAGACAGAGAGAGAGCATGAATGCGGGAGGAGCAGAGAGAGAGGGAGATACAGAATCTGAAGTTGGCTCCAGGCTCTGAGCTGTCAGCACAGAGCCTGTTGTGGGGCTCAAAACTGCGGACTGCGAGATCATGACCTCAGCTGAAGTCGGACGCTTAACCGACTCAGCCACCCAGGAACCCTTATTTATTTATTTTTTAGTGTTTGTTTATTTTAAGAGAGTCTGAGAGAGCGTGAGTAGAGGAGGGGTGAAGAGAGGGATAATCCCAAGCAGCTACCATAGGGTTCAGTGTACAAAGAGCGTGAGGCACGGTGCTCCAGCTTACAAACTGTGAGATCATGACCTGAGCCAAAATCAAGAGTCAGATGCTTAATTGACTGAGCTACCCAGTGGCCCTTCTTTTATTTTTAATCCAAGTAGTAGTCTGTTGGCATATTTTTGTTGTATTGATAGTTTCATTGAACATTATTTTCACTTTTGAAAAAATTTTATTTCCTTTAATGAAGCCTGTGAATAAACTTTTTAAATCCTTTTAGAAAGTTATTAATTATAATGGGTAAATGTAGTTCTTTAGAATCAAAGCATAGTTACATGATTCTCAGATTTTTTGGTTTAAGTCTGTCAGGAAATGTAATTTTTAACAACATGCATGAAGAGTTTTCCATTAACTGTGTTGAGTAAAATAAACGTCTTACCCAGCAGCTCAAATGCATTATAGTATAGCCTAAAAAATTTTTTTAATCCTCTACCAAGACATTTTTACCCCAGCACTTTAAAAAATGAATAATTCTATAAAGATGGATAATCCTGAGAGATTTACTGTATAGTCCCTGATATTGCTACTGTATTAGTATTTTTAATTCAGTGATTCTAATTAATTTTATTGCTTGAAAAGGTTATAATGAGATTGCACAGGGCATCTGTCTAGTTTTCAGTCTAGTGTCTACTCTGGGAGGAGTCTGTAGCTCCACTCTGTAAAAACGTCGTTCTTAGTGTAGTAGCATTTTTCTCCTCCTGTGGATCAGGAGACACAGCACATGGTTCCTTCTCAAGAAAGAATCCCATAAGGCAGTGCTTTTCTTGTAATTGCCTGTTAGGAGAGGACCAGAAGAGCTATTAGGACTCTCTTTCCTGTGTACACTGTTTGAAATAAAATGTGTAAGAAACAGCAATGGTTTGAAAAATACTAAATGGAAACATGGGGTAGAAAGCAATTTGCTCTTGGAAGAATTTTTTCATTTACAATTTTTGTTGAATTCATAAATTGAATGTAAACATTTCTATTTTGTTTTTTGATTCCACAGTCCACGCTGTAACACTGTTTCTAAATATCTTCGGATGCTTGGCTTGGTTTTGTGTTGATCCTACAAGAGGGGTTGATTTTGGATTGAGTATCCTGTGGTTCTTGCTTTTTACTCCTTGTTCATTTGTCTGTTGGTACAGACCACTTTACGGAGCTTTCAGGTAAAATGTGTGTATTTTAAAATATACTCTTTAAAACTTGTGAAGTAAATATTTGTAATTAACCTTACGTATTTTGGGAAGGGATATTGACACATTTTCATTAAAATTTATATTACTATATAACATACATTCAGATAAGTTCATATATAACATGCCTGTGTAATTATTAGGTTTTGTAAGTCACAAAATCCCATTCTTTTCTCCCACTTGAGTAAAAGATCAATCATGAAAATAAATGAAGGATAAATAAGAATAGTCTTATATCTCAACATGTGTATAATATTTTATACCATATAACACACTTTCAGGAAAATTTTGCTCTATATTTCCCCTTCAAAAAAAATCCACAAGTGGTGATTTACAGTCTAATTCTTTAACGAATGTATATAAGGTCTGTATACATGTGATATTTAAAGTAAGTCACGTTGACCTACTGAGGTGAAGTTTTCCCAAGCAAGGTAATTATTTTTTCTGTTTAAATTCATTTTCAGTTTTTCAAAAGGCAGCCATGTTTGAAAACTATTAAGATTATAAGATTAAGTATAATATTTTGCATGATATATTTTAATTAATGGTTAGGATTAATGTTTTCAAAATGCTTGTTCTGTGAGGTATTAATAGATGTTGCTGAAAAAGGGACTCATTAGCTTAAGTTTGGTAAAAACTGGAAAATTAAAGTATATTCATTTTGAATTTCTTAGATTCTTTTAAGAGCCTAGTGTGGTTTATGATTTGACCATGAAACCATTATTTTTTTTTACGGAACACCTTGTTGAACTATTGCTTTAAGAAATAAACATTGGGAAGTTCTGATTTAGAGAATAGTTCTGTATGAGTCCATATAGTCAGTCATTTATCAACTTACTTCGGGTAAATTTGTTTGTAAGTAAGGAATCTTTCTCAGCTCTTAGGAATGAGGGGCAGCATTATTAGGAAATAGGTATGTATTGTGCAGAAGTTATATTGGGGGAAATTGGAGGGCCACATTCAATGCTTTTTCTTTTCTTTTTCTTTTTTTTGCCATTTCAACATAGAATTTTTTTGATTAACCAGAGTATGTATTCCTTCTGCATGGAATTAGAAACCCAGATATATAAACAGATGAAAAAATAAAGCCCCAGAAGGAAAAGGAAGAAGATGAGGGAATTAGGAGAGAAAAGCGATTGTGCAACAGAAAACTAAAATGGTTAAAAATGGAATGAAAGGAAGAAAATAGATGGAAGGCAGAAAAGGAGGAAAGAATCTTCTTGGATATATCGGAGTATGGGAGGCTGATTTATCAAGAAATGGAGAGGTGCGCTTCTGGATGTGGGTTGGAGAGGGAAAAAAAGAAACTATTGACTCTTTCTGTGAGACAGGAAGAGAGTTACTGCTCCTCTCTTCCTTGTTACATAAGCCTGGCTCACAAGGTTTTTTAGTTTTTTGACATCTGGCTTTGGCTTCTGCCTGCCTTCTGCCTCACATTACTAAGGTATTGGTAATGTTGTTGGTGGGTAGGAATGAGGTTGTCTTTAAGACTTTAAAAGTGATATGAGACTAATGACTTTGGGTTTTAAACCTTCTATGATTAATGTAGCCAAAGCAAACTACTAAAAGCTAGCTTTCTGCCTTTTATTACTTGAAGTCATTTGGTTCATTTTCTTTGCTTTCTTGGCTAGTTGAAATAAAAATGCTGTGTGGAACATTTTTACATCTACCATTATTAATCTGTAGGCTAAATTCTGAGCTGCATTTCAGTCCTTGAGAGTTTATTCCAAATATGTTAAATATCTAGGTTTTATGTTCAGAGCAGAACTGAGAGGACTAATATTTAATGGGGAAAGTTGAAATTAAAGTATTTTAAATCATTAGTGTACCTTCTCAGGATGTGACTTTGGCATTTTTTTCATCCACATTGCCAAGTGTTTCTGAGCCAAATTCTTCCTTGAGTTTTAGTAGTTTGTTAAAGCTGTGTTGATGAGAGATCTTTCCTTTTTTCTTTTTTTTGAAATTTTTGATGTTTTTTAAAAAAATTTATTTCTGAGAGAGAGAGAGAGAAAAAGAGAGAGTGAGAGGAGGGAAGGGTCAGAGAAGAGAGGGAGATACAGAATCTGAAGCAGGCTCCAGGCTCTGAGCTAGCTGTCAGCACAGAGCCCGACGCGGAGCTTGAACCCATGAACCGTGAGATCATGACCTGAGCCGAAGTTGGACGCTTAACTGACTGAGCTATCCAGGTGCCCAGAGAGATCTTTCCTTCAAATATGAAAATCTCAAACCCAGATACATTAGATATGGTTATTGATAATTAAATATAGGGCTTTAAATAGACTTTACTTATTCACGTAAGTGCTTTGAGGTCAGTTTTGACAGGGATTATTGCCTTTGCGAAAGGGCAGAGTCAGTACACAAGTGTTTCATATTTTGTTTCAAGACTGATGATTAAAAAATGAAAACAAGCATCTGAGCAAAGAGTATGGGCATGTTATCTCTGGAAGAGAGAAGGGAGGGAGGACAGCATCCTTTCAGAACGTTCATAGTGTTAAAATTATGTCATAATGTTACTCTTCTGTAAGTGTACAGTGGAGTTTTTCAGAAGCTACGTGATGTGATATTGCAGTCAGTTTGAATGCAGAAACAGCAAGAGAATGCAGCTATCTTTAATTAAGCCACATACGAAACAGGTTTGCAAAAATACAAAGTAATGCTTTATTTTCGGTGATAGGAATATTTTCCATACCAAAAAAAACTTAAAAATGAATTAAATCTTTTATTTCTCCAATTTAGTTCCTAATTTTGTAAATCAATCACTATTACCAGCAAAATCAAAAGTTCCTGGTGATCCTCGACAAAAAAAGAGGTCTTGATACCAAAAGCTTGAGAATTGCTGTTCTTCTTTATTTATTTATTTACTTACTTATTTTACTTACTTACTTACTTACTTACTTACTTTACTTACTTACCTACCTACCTACCTAGGCTCCACACCCAAAGTGGGCTCAAGCTCAAGACCCTGAGATCAAGAATCACATGCTTTACTGACTGATCCACCTAGGAGCCTGGAGAATTGCTGTTCTAACCCTTTTATCCTTAGGGAACACTATAGAAAAGGATACTCTGCTTCTAAAGGCTCTGCTAAGCTTTTTAGCTTCTGTATGTGGCACATGTTTTATGAGAGAAGTTAGGTGCATGTTTGGGCCAATTTTATGCTTTTCACTTGTCATCACTTGTTACATTGTATCTTTAGTTTTGTATCTCTGGTTCTGTGAGACTGCAGAAATTTTGTTGGTTTGCCTGTTCCCTGGCAGTGGGCCTCTGTGCAGGCTGTGTCTGGATATTCAGCTTCTGGCTCTGCATTCAAAGAAAATGTGGCTGTTAAAATGTCCCTTCACATCTCTGTAATTCTCTTAGGTCTCCAGAATCATGGTCTCTCTATTCCTGGATGCTTCAGCAGTTCTTTAATGGTTTTAAATGGTGGTTGTTGTTCATTTGTTTGTATTCTAATCGTTCTTGGTAGGGATATGGTTGACCCTAGCTATTTTGTCACATTCAGAAGCTTAAAAAGAAAATTTGTAATTACTATAAACCCTATAAATGTTGTTTGCATTGTTTAAAGTTCTCTTACAATGGTAGCAGAACTGTTATGTTTTAATTTTGAAGATAATTTTGAAAATAATAATTTTGGCATCTTCTTGTCTATTTAATACCAAAGAATATGTGAAACTTAAAATGTAAGACATAATAATGAAACTTTTATGAATTGTGAACCCATTGCTCAATTTAAGAAAGAGAAGATTATCAGTACTGCTGAAACTCTGGCATGATCCCATTTCCCTTTTACCATAAGTAATCAAACTTAAGATAATTTTGCTTATTTCTCTACTTATAATTGTTTTTTTACTATAAATATACATATTCTCAAACCACCTTTTTAAGCTTGTAGAGAATACTTCTTTCAAGTAATTTAAAGTTTTATCTAAGTGATAAATTTTTATATTGAAGTTATATATACAATAAAAAAATAACCATTAAGGGATTTTTTTTTGGTAAACTAAGTAAAGCTACCTGCTTGCTCCCAGTAGTTCTTGCTCTTGACTTATATTTTTGACAATTGTCTCCATATTTAAAAGTAGTAATCATGGGGGCACCTAGGTTGCTCAGTTGGTTAAGCAGCTCAGGTCATGATCTCAGTCTTTACAAGTTCGAGCCCTGCATCAGGCTCTGTGCTAACTGCTTAGAGCCTGGAGCTTGCTTCGGATTTTGTGTCTGCCTCTCTTTCCCTTTCCCTTGCTCGCTCTCTCTCTCACAATTAATAATAAAACACTAAAAAATAATCATATACTACCATTTCTTGATATTTACAGCTTTATTGATTTATCTTTTCCATACTGTAAAATTCACCCATTCAGTGGTTCAATTCAGTGATTTTTGAGTAAGTTTATAGAATTGTGCAACTATCAACACAATCATTTTTAAAACTTTTTTCGTCTCGTGGCTTTCATTTGTAATCAATCCCCATTCCCCCTCCTTAGCTCCAGGCAACCGCTGATCTGTTGTCTATCTCTGACATTTCCTTTCCATATTTCATGGAAATGGAATCAGAATATATAGCCATATACTCTATTCTTTTATTTTGAATAGTGCTTTTCTGAGGTTCATCCAGCTTGCAAAATGTATAAGTAATTTTTTTCTTTTTGAGTACTGAATGGAATTCCATTGTATGGCTATACCAAAATTTATCCATTCGTGGACATTTGGCCTCTTTTCAATGTTTAACTTTATGAATAATGTTAAGAACATTAGTGATAAGTCTTTGTGTGGACATGTTTTCATTTTTCTTAGGTTGATTGAGATGGCATCAGTGAGTTGTAGCTTTTCCTTACCATAGTTAAGTTTTTAAGAAACTGCTAAACCTTCTTCCAAAGTGGTTGTACCATTTTACATTTTGGGGGTTCTAGTTTCTCTATATCTTCATTAACACTTTATGTTATCTGTTTTTTTATTATAGCCATTCTAGTAGGCAT